CCCCAAAACCCCAAAACCCCAAAACCCCAAGATGCCAATTTTTATAAGGAATTTAAGAATCATTGATTATAAAATGTTATTAAAAACTAAACTCACTCAAAATTTTTCATCCCTCTTCTTTAACTAAGTCTAAAGAGCGGCCTTCTCAAGAACAGTTGACTTCCATGGGACAACTATCTTGAATGTCCGTAAAGACAACAAAGTAGTGATGATTGGTGATGGCCAGATCTCCTTGGGACACACTGTATTCAAGACTAATGCTAGAAAAATCAGAAGAATTTAAGACAATGTGATTTGTGGTTTCGCAGGTTCAGCTGCTGATTGTTTAGCATTACTTGAACTCCTTGAAAAAGAATTTGAAAAACATCCAGGCCAGACCTTGAGAGCTTGTCTATCATTAGCAAAGTAATGGAGAACTAGTAAGATATATAAAACTTAATGTAATACCTACAGATAAGATTCATTAGACCTTATAGGCTGATATGCTAGTTAGTGATAAAGAGATTACATGCTTAGTTGATGGTTCAGGAAATTGTATAGAAATTGAGAGTGGAGTTGTTGCTATTGGTTCAGGAGGCTTATATGCTCAATGTATTTTAAAATCATTTAGTTTTATCTTATTACAGCTGCTGCAACAGCATTACTTGACGTGCATAATATGGATGCCGAATAAATAGCAAGAAAGGCAATGAATATCGCAGCAGATCTCTGTGTATATACTAATCACACACATATGGTTGAAGTTTTGGATTCAATTGTAAAGGATAAGATTAAGTGAGGACTGATATAAAATTGATTAATTAATTAAAATTTATAATTATCAACATTAAAATTTACATCATAATCCTTAAAAATTAAAATGAATATAGCTTAAAGTCCCGCGAGTGGCCAGAGTTTTCCTAATAGTCCTAATCTTACAACTGATCATTTGAATTCTCTCCCTTAGATTTCTAGGAATCACCATACTAACCAATCATTCAAGACTGAATGTAAACTAATAATTATTATAACCTTGTTTAAATAGTGCCTACAATACCTGAAATGAAAATAAACACTAATAGATCATTCAGCGTTTCAAAACAATAAGTACAGTAAAAATGAGCGATTAATGATGGATTAGAAATGCTTGATTAAAAATCATCCTACTTTGAATCTAGGCAAAATTTATCTCTTCTGGAAAACAGAATTAAAAGGCTGGTATTCGAAGATGATAGAGCAAAAAAACTTACTTAACTAGCCAATGAGAAAGCAGATAAACTTCTCAAAGCACGAGAAAGACATTAAAAGGAGTTAGAGGAGAAATTTTACATTTAGAGTTTAAGGAAATAGAAAGAAGATGAAATGAAGATGATTAATAAACACTTGAGAGACTAGCATCGCTTTAAGTTGTAGGATAAAAGAAATTAGTTAGTCATGCGAAATTAGGTATGATTTACTGATATATGAATCAAATTAGAATGTCAGAGATAATATTCAGAAGACATTAAGGGAAGTACAAATGAAGAAGAATCTGGATGAAGAGCTAGAATTGAATTAAAAATATGAAAAAAAGAACTAGATAGAGGAGGTAAGAATATTCATATGATCCTGATTTACTTTTCTAGAGGAAAAATTACTTTATTCACTTGAAAAATGAATCTAAAAAACTTATGATGAACTACTAGAATGATTAATATAAATTGTAGCAGATCTAGACTGCTAAACAAACCTAGAAGAATTTTGAAAGGATGCAATAGCTGGAATAGGTTGAAAAAATTTTGCTTGATAAGTTAGGTTAAACACAATTGTCCTAGAGAGATGCTTTGATAAATCTTTAAAAAGCTGTATAGGTTTGCAACTCAGGAATTGACCTGGAGAGTATAAAGTAAAAAGCAGCTCCTAAATCAACTAGAAATCACAACCATAAAAAACAGAATAGCATGAGCTAGAATCTCAATACTGATAGCTCTGATGGATTATTTTTGACAAGCACTGGAGGTATAGAATAAGTTTAAGTTAATCTTAACAATACAATTCTATGAGTAATGCATTTAGAGTATTGAAATAATATAATGAAATCTCTAGAGTTTCCTCTATCTATTGGTATTATAAATTGCAATGAATGGAATTGATTGTAAAAATCCCCAATAATTTGAATATTCATCACAAAGGGGTTTTGGGGTTTTGGGGTTTTGGGG